GGGTGTGGGTGACGCATGGCGGGCGCGGGCACTGGGGCCTTCGGTGGAGCTCCCTATGGAGCCACGAAGCGTGTGAAGGGTGTGCCGAAATGTGTGTGGGTGACGCATGCGGGCGCGGGCACTGGGGCCTTCGGTGGAGCTCCCTATGGAGCCACGAAACGTGTGAGGGGTGTGCCGAAATGGGTGTGGGTGACGCATGCGGGCGCGGGCACTGGGGCCTTCGGTGGAGCTCCCCATGGAGCCACGAAACGTGTGAGGGGTGTGCCGAAATGGGTGTGGGTGACGCATGCGGGCGCGGGCACTGGGGCCTTCGGCGGAGCTCCCTATGGAGCCACGAAGCTTGTGAGGGGTGTGCCGAAATGGGTGTGGGTGACGCATGCGGGCGCGGGCACTGGGGCCTTCGTGGAGCTCCCTATGGAGCCACGAAGCTTGTGAGGGGTGGTGGCCGAAATGGGTGTGGCTGACGCATGCGGGCGCGGGCACTGGGGCCTTCGGTGGGAGCTCCTATGGGCCTATGGAGCCACGAGCGTGTGAGGGGTGGCCGAATGGGTGTGGCTGACGCAATGCTGGCGCGGGCCAGCTGGGGCCTTCGGTGGAGCTCCGTCTGGGCCACGAAACGTGTGAGGGGTGTGCCGAAATGGGTGACGCATGCGGCGCGGCCACTGGGGCCTTCGGTGGAGCTCCCTATGGAGCCACGAAACGTGTGAGGGGTGTGCCGAAATGGGTGTGGGTGACGCATGCGGGCGCGGCACTGGGGCCTTCGGTGGAGCTCCCTATGGAGCCACGAAACGTGTGAGGGGTGTGCCGAAATGGGTGTGGCTGACGCATGCGGGCGCGGGCACTGGGGCCTTCGGTGGAGCTCCCTATGGAGCCACGAAACGTGTGAGGGGTGTGCCGAAATGGGTGTGGGTGACGCATGCGGGCGCGGGCACTGGGGCCTTCGGTGGAGCTCCCTATGGAGCCACGAAACGTGTGAGGGGTGTGCCGAAATGGGTGTGGCTGACGCATGCGGGCGCGGGCACGAGGGAGGAGGGGGAAGAGGAGGAGAGGAGAGGAACGCGGGGCACCGTCTCTTCAAAACGAGGACCCAACACCACAGGATGGTTGGGAACAAAACCAAAACCGAAATAGTTTAGCTCGCCAGGCACCCCTGCGATGAATCGACAGGGGGCGGCGGATCGAAGAGTGGGGGGCCGGGGGGCCTCTCGGGGGTCTCTTGGAGGCAGTTGGAGGCCTTCTGGGAGACGTTCTGGGACGATCGGGGCGGGGCCTCTTGGGAGCCTCTTGGGGCCTCCTGGGCGCCTCTTGGGGCCTCCTGGGGGCCTCTTGGGGCGGAAGGCTTGGATTTTCGGTTCGTGTTCCCTCTCTTGAGCCCCTCTTGGGGCCGTTCTTGGGGCCTCTTGGGCCGTTTTGGACAACTCTTGGGCCGTCTTGGGGCCCTCTAGGCCAGTTTGCCGTCTTGCAGGGGCGGTCTTGGGGGCCTCTAGGGCCGTCTGGGAGCGTCGGGGAGCAGAAACGGCGAGAACGCCAGAATCCTTCCATTTTGGGGCTCTCTCGAGCGGTCCCTTGGAGGCCTCCTGGGGCGTCTTGGGGGCGTCTTGGGCCGTCAGGGGGCCATCCTGAGCGTCTTGGAGCGATCGTTCCGAGACGCGGGGCCCTCTTCTTGGGGGGGCCTCTCGGGGCTCTCTCGGCCCCTCTCTTGGGGCCCTCGCGGGCCCGGAAAAAAGCCGCACGACGAGGTGCGGGGGAGCCCCCGCGCGGGGGGGCACGGGCACAGCCCCCCGGGGGAGGGGGGGGGGCACGCGGGAGGCCCCTTGGAGGTTCGAGGAGCGAGGGCTCCGGGCTCCCTCAAAGAAGCCGCAGGAGCGAGGGGTGATCTGCACGAGCGACATGGGTACGATGAGGGGTGGGGGGGTGAGGCTCCGAGGAACATCGGCACGAACGAAATGGGTACGGAAAGAACGGGTACAATGCTCAACAGCAGATCCTGTTCATTCTGAACAGGGCTCGCTGTCCGCGCCGCCGCGGCCTGTGTCCATTTGGGGCAGGAGGCCGCCTGCTCAACAGCGGCCGCCGTTGGTTCGGGACAACACTTGTTGTTGGGCATTGTGCCAGGGGTGGACCTAACGGTGTTTTGTGGCGATTTCGTGGCAACGAAAACAACATGAAAACGAAAAACACCGTTTAGCTTCAGCCCTGCATTGTACCCATTTTTTCCGTACCCATTTCGAGCGTCGAAAGGTGAGGCTCCGAGGAACAGGCGCAGGACCTGAATACACGCCCACTCCGTGCCCAGCGGCACAGGTGGCGGATTCATTCGCACTTCTTGATTTCCGTGATCCGTAATCGCACACATGACGAACCCTGCCTTGCTTCTTGTGGCGCTTGGGCTAGTCGGTCATTCGCATGCCGTGACGATCAGGCACGCTCTCCGCCGTCTTGAAGAGGGCAGCCACCTTGGTCTTGTCCTTGACCTTGATTCTGATATAGGCCAGGGCTTTACTATCATTGATGACGATCAGGCATATACCCTGGACCTCGACTCGAATGGCGACAAGGCCCGCCACAAAAATATATTCACAAGCTCCCTCCAGTTGGATAATTCCTGGGCCTCAGGGGAGGGTCGAGGCGTAGAAGTCACCACTGGGAGCCAGCGATCTTATACACCGCCGCCCCCCCCTGAAGGTACGTGCAACATTCGTCGGAGGGTGTTTGTGTATATGTTTCCGTGGCGCACAAGGGGAGCATCGAAGGTCCTCCCAGGATGGCCTCCCTCGGAGAGCCAGGCGGCGCTTGGGCGCGTGATCCGACGGACGTCCAGGAGAGGGTCTTTTCGGTGGAGCTCAACCTGAGCAGGTCGGTGGCCACATGCGAACCCTACCCCACCACCCCACGATCCTCTCCTCGATCCTCGATCCTTGATCCTCCTCGATCATCCTCGATCCTGGATCCTCCTCGATCCTCCTCCTCGCCCCCATGCGAGTTGTAAGGGGGGAGGTGGGGTTCGCATGCGGCCTCCTAGCAGGGCGCACGACCTCGGTTTGCTAGCGGGCCTCAAGCTTGGCATCGATACCGATGCCAGCCCAATCTCCGTCCTCGCGGTGAGGAGGCGCGGCCTCGTGGACGAGTGGAACTCGGCCCATTCTGGGACTGGGAATGCGATCTGCGTAGGCGATAAGATCACGAGGGCCAACGACTTCCTCTGGCACCTCAACAGCGTGAAGTTCGCGAGGCACGTGATGTCGCTGTACGACGCTGGGCGCTCCCTCAGGCCTGGCGCGCAGGGCATCCTGGAGCTGGAGATCAGGGCGGCGACCGCCGCAGTAATCGTGAGACCGAGCCTCCCTCTGCCCCCCCCCGCCTCCACCGCTGGACCTATCGTCAAGACGTCAGAATCAGGAGCGTTTTGGGCTCCGGAGCGGCTCTGGTCTTCGGGCCGTTCCTTCTGCCTCGGTCGGGGAGCCTCTTCGTGGCCGAGGGCGCCGTGGCCAGAAGAGCGCCTTCGGTCCTCGTGCTGAGCTCCTGCTGGTAGCGCGGTGGCCGTGGACGACGTCGCGCCCGACAGTTGTTGTCGCAGTTTCTTCGCTCCTGGGCCAAAGGACAGCGATTCGAGAAGATCGATTCGAGAAGATCGATTCGTCGGCGATTCGAGAAGATCGATTCGAGAAGATCGATTCGTCTGGTCGGCGATTCGAGAACATCGATTCGAGAAGATCGATTCGTCTGGTTGGTGATTCGAGAAGATTCGACCAGATCGATTCGTCGGCGATTCGAGAAGATGACTCGGGGTCCGTCGGCGATTCGAGAAGTTCGATTCGTCTGGTCGGCGATTCGAGAAGATCGATTTGTTTAGGGCTGGGGTCTGCCCGCTTCCCCTTGCCCATCCCCCGGTCTCCTCAATCCTCCTCCTCCTCCTCCTCCTCCTCCTCCTCCTCCTCCTCCTCCTCCTCCTCCTCCCCCTCCTCCCCCTTCTCTTCCTCATCCTTTTCCTCCTCCTTCTCCTCAATCCTCCTCCTCCTCCTCCTCCTCCTCCTCCCTCCTCCTCCTCCCTCCTCCTCCTCCTCCTCCTCCTCCTCCCCCTTCTCCGCCTCCGCCTCCGCCTCCGCCTCCGCCTCCTCCTCCTCCTCCTCCTCCTCCGCCTCCGCCTGCGTCTCCTCCTCTCCTCCTCCTCCTCCTCCTCCTCCTCCTCCTCCTCTCTCCGTCTCCTTCTCTTCCTCCTCCTCCTCCTCCTCCTCCTCCTCCTCCTCGTCCTCCTCCTCCTCCTCCTCTCCCCCATTCGTTCACTCATTCATGCTGCTTCCCCTCTCTCCTGTCCTCTCTCCTCCTTTCTCGCTTCTTTTCTTCCACCAGTGGGGACGTGGGCGAAAAGCACATCCGTATCCGTAGCCTTGCGGGCCGTTCCCTTGAGCCGCGACCCCGCGGAGTACATGGCGTCATTTCGCGGATGCCCCGCGCGGAACGTACCCGTGCGACCGCGCATCCGCGGGATCGCGCCCCAGAGGAGGAGGAGGAGGAGGAGGAGGAGGAGGAGGAGGAGGAGGAGGAGGAGGAGGAGGAGGAGGAGGAGGAGGAGGAGGAGGAGGAGGAGGATCGCCCGATTCGAGGGCGCGGATACGGAGATGCTCGCCGCTCGTGAGGGGGGGGGAGGAGGGCAGGGCCACCTCGCCGCCGCCGCGGCCTGCCCCCCCCCCCCCAGGAGATCTGGAGGCCCCACCTGGACCCTCAGACGGCCGCCCTCCTCAAGAAGCAGTTCGAGGAGAGGGGCGCGAGCGACGCGGCCCCCCCGGAGGAGGCCGTCAACAGCACCGACGCCCAGGCCGAGGAGGCGCCGGCCGCGGCGGAGGGGGCGGAGGAGGACAACGGCGCGGGCGGCAAGCCCGAGGAGGAGCTGGCCGCGGCGAAGCCGGAGGGCGACGCGGAGGGCGCGGGCGATACGGCCAGGGAGGAAGAGGAGGAGCAGAAGGAGGCCGTCGAGGAGGCCGATGAGGCGCCGGTCGCGGCGAAGGAGGAGAAGGCCGAGGACCTTGCCGTCCGCCGAGATGACTGCTTCGATCCGCGGCCCCAGAGGTCCTGGCCGATTCTCCCGGGGTGGTGCTTCGGCAGAGGGAAACAAGTCGTGGACTGACACTCCCCCATCTTCCAAATTCAGAGTCGAGGTGCAGCTCAGTAAACCCATCGCCAACTTTGATTATTGGGGGGAGCACTGACAGAAGCATGCGGCATGAGTGTTCGCACATTTTTGCCGAGGCCTGTTCGTCCTGGACTAACTTCTGATGTTCCCGGGGTCCGATGCTGGGCCCTGGCGGCCCAAATCGAAGGAAACCGCCGGGATTGAAACACATTGATCGTCGCAGATCTGGGAAGGACGTCGGCGACAAGACGGAGGAGAAGGAGGATGAGGAAAATGACTACACGAAGGAGGAGGACAATGCACAGAAGGATGCCGACGTGAAGACCGAGGATGCCGAGGAGGCGCTGGTCGCGGTGAAGAAGGAGCAGGAAGAGGCCCTTGACGCGGTGAAGGAGGCGCTGGTCGCCGTGAAGGAGAAGAAGGATCAGGGGCAGCGTGGGGGGGTGGGGATACGGTCGGGAACTCCTGGTGAGCGTGTCGCTCCGCCGGTTCCGGTCCACCACGCTTCGGCGCGATACGCTAACAACGTCCCGAGCTCTTCCCCGCCGTTCGCCTCGCGGAGCGGAGCGGCATGCTATCAGCTTGCAGGGGATTCCCTTCCGCCAGGGCCGCCGCCGCGACACGCTGAGCACAAGTTCCCGACCGTCGCCTCAGAAGAGGAAAAACAAGGTTCGAGGTTCGAGTCTTTCGGCTGCTTTCCTAGATTTTCGGCGGCTCTCCACCCTCGGGGTGCCTTCCAGCGGTTGTGCCTCGCCGAGAGGCGTCTGGGGGTGCCTGGATCGTCCCGAGCTTGCCCCAGAGGCCCGAGTTATGACACGAAAGCCAGCTGAACGGCGAGGGCCATCGTGGACAAAACGCAGACGAAGCCAGCGGCGAAGTACACGGGCCGCTTGCGCGATTGGCGATGGAGTGAGCTCGGGCTGGACATGGCGCTTGTTGCCTACAAGGTGTACGTCTTGCCTGCGTTCCTATTTGTCGCCCCGCTGGAGGCCCCGCCACCACAGGTCCTCGACAAAGAGCGTGTTGCGGTTCGACGGGTGGCTCCTTGGCCTGGGGTATGGTGCTGTCTCGATGATCTACACCACGGGGAGGAGGTCGGGCTGGCACCACATCTTCGGCCTCGGGAAGTCTCTTACAAAGCGGCGATGATTCGCGCGAGCGCCTGGGAATCGAAAGGAGGCGGCGGCGTGGAGTGGGCCAGGATGGCCGCCGACTTTACGTCGGCACAGGTCGACACTGAATATTCGGTTCGCGCTGCCCGGTGGTGCAGATGGCTCGACTCCCACATCCCTACACATATTCTTGCGGCAGTCTCGGAGCAGGCTCTCGCCTGTGTACAAAAACGCAGCACGGGCGGCTATCAGCAGTGTGAGAATGTGGGACCTCTCACAGAGGCGGGCGACCAGAAGTTCAGAAGAAGTACGCAGCAATGGGTCGTGGCCCTCCTCCTCTAGCGGGACGGGTGCAACGTTGAGTGTCGGCTCCGCAGGCGGCTGGCGAGACGGAGGCCGACAGACTTGCCCGGCCGCGCGGCCCTCGCGGTGGCGCGACATCTGAAGAGGCTCCAGGAGTTTGTACCTCCAAGGATCAGATCGGCAATGCGAAATACGATCATCATCCAGAGGACGACGGATCGAAGAGTCGGGTCGCTGCGGCGTGGAGGCCGGACAGGTGTAGTCAGCTGCTCTTGCACAGCGGACGGTGCGGTGGAACAGTACGTTCGCTGCTCCGTTGGTCGCGCGTGGTCGCGGGGGCGACTGTGCAGGGGCGACACGGGCCCGGCTCTGGCCCGAGGGGTGTTGGCAATTTCTTTGACCGATGAACAGTTACAGCTGGAAGCGTTTCGCAACTACGTGCTCTACCGTGCACAACCTATGCCGACGGACGTTCGCAACCTTGGAGGAGAGGGCCGGTTATTCAACATCGATTACGGAGCAACTCTTACACAAAGCTGCCACAGATGACACGCGGCTTCGGAGATTGTGTCAGTTCTCGCAGGGAGGGTGCGACGACGGACCGACGGAGGGGATGGGTGTCGGGGGCGGCGGAGGACGTAGCATATTAATCGCGAGGCTTTCTGCTTCCACTCTTTCTACTTCCACCGCCTGTCAATGCCTTCGACTCCGACCACTCCCCTACGCCCGAGACCTGGGCCCGACACGTCAGCTTCTGACAAGATGCGCTCCCCTCACATTTTCTCAGTGCGGGATCTTCCCGTCAGCTTCGACTTCAGCTCAGAAAAGGCCAGCGCGCTGGCTCCGACGCTGGCCCCAACCTCAGCCCCGACTCCAGCCCCGACTCCCTCAACAACATCCGACCTCAAGCCCCAAGTATCAAATTTTCGAATTTGGCTTTGCACCTTCACCTCTGCCTCCACCCATCGACCTCCAGCCTCCACCAGCTCACCATTCCATCCTCCGGCATCCAACATTCGACTTTGCACCTCTGCCTCCATCTTCACCTTTCGGTTCCCATCCACATCCACCTTTCGACCTACAGCGTCTACCAGCTCAACACTCCGACCCCCAGTCTCCACGTTGACATGAGCACCCTCCAGCCACATCAGCACCAATCCCAGCAAAGACCAAGCCAATTACAAAAACACAGCCTGACACCAGCACAGCCCACCATAGAGCATCTAGGACGACGACACGCCCACTCACCGTCCTAGCACCACCGGCCACCTAGCACCACCGGCACCACCGGCACACGACGATTCACCACAAGTACGACCACAGTCACGATTACTACGAGACGGCCAAGGTCACGCACACGTGTACGGCTGGCATCGCGACCACGAGTACGGCCATGACGAGCACGCCCACGACCACGGCCGTTGGTACGGGTATACGCCAGAACGGTCTAGGACAGCACCACGACCTCAGCCTCTAACACGGAGGCCCTGGCTCCAGCTCCGACAACAGCTCCTTCTCCAAGTCCGCTCCTTCTCCAAGTCCGACTTCGGCCCCGACTACAGCTGCGACCCCGACTCCGAGCGCAGCCCCGGAGACGGCGCTGGCTCCGACTCCAGCTCCGGCTCGCCATCCGATGCCATCTCCGATTCCGGCATCGGCTCTCCGATTCCAGCTCTTCGCCTCCGGCTTCTATCCCAATTCCGACCTTGGGTCCGACACCAGTTGTGGGGACAGCACGACGGCGTGCAGCACCCTCACCCAGACATTCACTCGCACGCATTACGACGAGGACTGGCACGACCATGGCGACCAGCAGTTCCAGGTCGACCCATCGTGACGAGCATGTTGGTCTCTGGGGATGCGGCTGGCCACCTGCTGGAGGATGGGCTGGCATCACCCGAATCGTTCGGCGGAGGGATCTGACGCGAGCTGCCCCGTAGTCTCGCCTGACGGTCACCTGGGAAAATGTGTTGGCTCGTACTCGGACTCCAGCTCGGACTCCAGCTCAGACCACCCTGCAGACGCCAGCGTCGGCCCCGAGCCCGAGCGCTGTCCCAGCGGCAGTCTTGGCTCGAACATCGGCATCGGCTCTCCTTTGATGCCTGCTCCAACCACGACGCCAACCAACAGGTTTTTGACAGCAATGACGTTCCCGAGTAGTTCCCTTTCTTGTTCGAGTTCTGACGGCCTTCCTGCTTGTAGCTAGTCTTAGGACGAGGCACTCCGTGTTTTTGTGCTCATCTCCTCCCCTCTTTTTCCCCCTGTGCGCGTGCTCGGCGACTCGCCATGGTGCCACCATCGCAGGGCGGATATCGTTCGGAAAACGATAGGATGGGCCCGGAGTGTCCTGGATAATTTCGTTCCGGGTTTAGAGGTGAGATTAGTGCAGATTTTTTGACAAAATCCATGTGAAAATCACTCCGTCTTTCACCCGCCGTTTCGGGGTTTAGCATCGACAGAAATCCACGCGAAAATCCGCTGCAGCACGTCTGTCGGGAGGGAACAAAAAAACACACAGACACAATTCATCCTCGACCTCCCCGAAAGTGTAGGAACACATGGGAAGAGTGGGGGGGAAGACAAGAGCCCAGAACGTACGGGAATGTCTGGGGCATCCCGTGATTTGTGTCCGTTTATCCGCGTGCCCCCAGGGCCCCTTCCGTCTGCAAGGCCGGTGCAGCGAGACTCGGCTGGCAGCGCCGCGTTGGCACCGATGGAGGGCCGCGCCGCGCCGCGCTCGGCCGCTCGACCCGGCACGGCCGCCCCCCCCCTCTGAGGTGCCGCGCGCCGGCTCTGGCGCTCGCTGCTCTTCGGCGGCCTGGCCCGGCGAGGGGCGCCGGGGCCCAGCTCGAAGACAGTACGGTGAGCGGCTTTCAGAGGCCAGCAACATATGTACACGTACGCGGTTAGCTTCCGCTGGAGTGAGTTTGAAAGCGGAGGTTCGTACACGCAAGACCGCGGAGGGCGTACATGTACATATGTCGTTGCTCGCTCAGGCTTGGGGCACTTGCTTTTCAAGAGGGGCTCGGTCGTTCCTCAGGCTTGCCCGCGTCGGGTGTCGCCCCCGATGCGTCGTGTGTCGCTCCCGGTGCGATCGCTGCTCTTCGGCGGCCTGGCCCGGCGGTGGGCGCCGGGGCCCAGCTTCAATGCACGGCGAGCGGTCTGAATATGGAACACTTGCTTTTCAAGAGGGGCTCGGTCGTTCCTCAGGCTTGCCTGCGTTATGTGTCGCTCCTGATGCGTTATGTATTATGCATCGTTCCTTGAGCGTTATCCCCAGGAAACACGAGAGTCTTCGTTCCTCATTTGCCGTTTCTTAGGTCAGGCCGATGACTCCATACGAGCTAGGTATTTGTTAGACTTGCGTTTCCTTGCTGTACAGCGTGACTGCCTTAGCTGTCCATTCTTTCTTTTCCTCCTCCTCCTCCTCGTTCCCTTCCTCCGCTTCCCTCCGCTTCCTCGCGCTGCTCGTGCGGGATCCTGGTGCGCGCGCCGCCCTCGTCTGGCCTCCGCGCCCGCGAGCACTGGTGTTTCTTTCCTTGTGTCTCCTGTGCTCCCCTCCCTGGCCTTTGGCGGGGCAGACAAGCCAGATGCCGGGCGTCGAGTGTCGCATGGGCCTCTCGCCTTTCTTCATGCGGCTCGCCTCAAGGCGCCTGTCTTGTTTGTTTCCGTTTCAAGGCATATCTGGGAAGTACTGCATGCGGACGCGTGCGGTTAGACAACAGCCAGTCCCCCCTCCATCTCAGGCTGCGGAGCAGCCGAGAGGCCGTGATTTGCAGTCCTTGACGGGTCGGGGAAGTTCATTAGTTGGGTTGCGGTAGGGGGGCAAACAGAAAAGGGGGGACATCTGCCCAGGAGGCAGCGCATTGACCCCCAGTCGCCCACTGATCGTCGATATGGGGCCTCATTGCCCACCTCGCCTAGGAGTGTGCCGGTCCTGGGCCCGCCGCAGGTCTTTCGACGATGCATCGCCGACTGCAGCTCGATGTGCCCCCCCCCCCCCCCCCCCCCCTTTGGACGAGGACACCGATGATAATGCTGCTGATGCTGCTGCTGATGATGGCCAGGGGGAGAAGGAGAACCAGGAGGAGGAGGAGGAGGAGGAGGAGGAGGAGGGGAGGGTGAGGGTGAGGGGGAGGCGGAGTGGAACACGGAGGGTGAGGGGGGGGAGGATGAGGAGGAGGACTAGTGTAAACCCAAGAGTCGTCAACGATGTTGCTATCAATCCTCACTCCATGTTCCTTTGTCATGTGCCCCTTCCAAGGGCTCATGTTCACTTAGGGAAGGGCCCCGTTGGAAGATAACCGTGATCTTGAACTGTGCCAGAACACCATTCCAGGGATTTCAACGCTGCGAATCACGGTTACTTTTGCGTCTTGGCGATCTGGAATCGTGCCAGTACACCAGTCTTGGGACTTCAACACCGCGAATCAACGAATCAACATATTAGTTGTTACGCCCTGACAGTTCGACAACATGCGGAAACATCATTTCTGGGACGTTCCTCTCAAGACGGATAAGCGCGGCGCTAAGGCGAGAGCCACATGTTGAAAAGGAACCGCCCTGCATCCGTGAAGTTCTTGCACATTTTTAAAGTTAAAGAGCGCGAAAGGCGAGAGTCACATTTTGAATACGACCCGCCCTCCCTCCGTGAAGTTCTTGCAGATTTTGAGATGCGTTCGCGTTGCGCTAACGCGAGATCCTCATTTTGAAAACGGCCCGCCCTCCATCCGTGAAACTTTGCAAATCTTCAGTCTTCGGATCAAAAGTGGTGAGAGAGTCTCAGGCGAAACGCCCGGCCAGCCCTACCGACACGCCTCGGGGTGCGACAGGGGGGAGTTATTTGCAAGGAAGAAAATGGATAAGCAGGATGAGGAGAAGGAAGAGGAGGGGAAGGAGGATGAGGATGATGAGGATGAGGATGAGGATGATGACGAGGATGATGATGCTGATGATGATGGTGATGCTGATGCTGCTGCTGATGATGATGCTGATGAAAATGATGACGAGAAGGATGAAGAGGATGAGGATGAGGATGAGGACGAGGATGAGAGTGAGGGTGAGGATGATGTTGAGGATGAGGATGTTGATGCTGCTGATGATGAGGATGCTGTTGACGATGATGATGTTGTTTATGATACTTATGCTGATGATGCTGCCGATGATGGTGCTGCTCCTGATGATGCTGATTATGATGATGATGACGATGATGATGACGATGACACTGTTGCTGATGTTGGTGATGATGGTGGTGGTGGTGGTGATGCTGATAATGATGAGTGGGGAGTCGGAGGATGACCAGTGTAAACCCAAGACGCATAACACATGTTGCAAGACAGTCTCCCCCCAAGATCCCTCTTCATATATCCCTGCAATAATGTATTATCATTGCTGGAAGTGGCCCATTAGAAAACAACCGTCTTATATATTCACCCGTGCTAACACACCATTCCTGGGATGTCAGCGCCGCAGGTGAACGGCTCTGCCGCGGCCTGTCAGTCCCAGACCGTGCCAGAAAGCCATTCCTGGGCGCTTCGACACCGCGAGCCCACGTGGCTGTTCCACCCTGACAATCTTGAATCGCGCTAAACAGAATTCCTTGGACTTCAACCGTACGGATCTGTGAAATGGTCGCAGACTTTTAGGACGAATGCGCGCGGCGCTAAGGCGAGAGGCACATCATGAAGAGGAGCCGCCCTCAATCCGTGAAACCCTTGCAAGTTTTTACGACGAATGTGTGCGGCGCTAAGGCGAGACTTGAACACCACCCGCCCTCCATCCGTGAAAATGTCGGGGTAGGACCATACGTGGTGAGGAAATCTCAAGCGCAACGCCCGGGCCGCCTTACCGAAACGTCTGGGGGTGCGCTAGGAAGGAATCATTAAGAGAAGAGGATTGAGGAGGAGGAGGAGGAGGAGGAGGAGGAGGAGGAGGACGAGGAGGAAGAGGAGGAGGAGGACCAGTGTAACCCCACGATTTGCCAACGATGTTGGAAATAGTCCTCCCTCCAGCCTCCCTCTTCATGAGCCCCTACAAGGATCCATTTCCACTCGCGGAAGTGTCCCGTCGGGAGATGCCTTTTTTTGAAGACCCTGAAACGTGTTAAAATGCCACGAGTCAACCTGACTGTTGCGTCTGGAGGATCTTGAATCGTGCCAGAACACCATTGCTGGAACTTGAACGCAGCGAATCAATATAACTGATGTGCCCTAGAAATCATGAGTCGCTCCAATAAGTGCATTTCTGGTAAGTTGACCATGGGAAGGCTTAGAACCTTTGCAGCTTTGTTAGGACGAATGTGCGCGGCGCGAAGGCGATAACCACATGTTGAAAAGGAACCGCCCTCAATCCGTGAAGGTGTCGCATATTTTTCAGACGAGTGTGCGCGGCGCTAAGGGGAGAACTACATGTTGAAAACGACCAGCCCTCCATGCAAATTCTTCCGCGCGGCGCTAAGCCGAGGGCCACATTTGGAAAACCGCCCGCCCTCCACGCGTGAAACTTCTGCAACGTTTGAAGACGAATGCGCGCGGCGATAAGGCGAGATCCACATGCTGAAGACCGCCTGCCCTCCGTTTGCCAAACTCCTGCAATGTTCGAGCCTCAGGAAAGTAAATGGTAAGGAAGTCTTTGGCGAAACGCCCAGCCCGCCCTTCCGACGGGCCTCGCGGTACGGCAGGGAGGAGTTCGTTATAAGGAGAAGGGATGGAGGAGGAGGAGAGGGAGAAGGAGGAGGATGAGGAAGAGGAGGAAAAGGACGTGGACGAGGAGGGGAGGAGGATGAGGAGGAGGAGGAGGAGGAGGAGGAGGAGGAGGACGTGGACGAAGAGGAGGAGGAGGAGGAAATGGAGGGAAGGAGGAGCAGGAGGAGGCAAACGTTCCGCCGCAAAGGAGGAGGTCGAGGACGACGAGAAGGATGCCGTCGACAAGGAGGCGATGGCGCGGGACGTCGCGAAGGAGGCTATGGGCGCGTCAAAAGGGGGGTGGCTCTTTCTGGGGGAGTGTTGCTCAAGAGGATTACGCCCCAGACATGGTCGCGTCACAGAAAATTCGCCATCGGAGTTTTTTTTGCTGTTTTCGGGGTCCTCGCCGGGCTGGGACCATCGCAAAACGGCTCGGGATGAATGCCCAACCCTGGGGAAACGGCCAGGACTTCCGGGGCCCCAGTATTGAAACAATCAACACATCGCATGCCTGGGGCCATTCTGTCGACTCCCAGGAGAAGAGGTGTGCGGCTTCCGATTTCGTGTGCGTGTGTTGTTTGAGTTTTCCTGTCGTGCTGCCTGCGCGTAGTCGTTGCCTACTCGTCCTCCTTTTTCGCTGGCGCGTCGAACAGGGATTGGCATTTTTGTTGTTGGAGATTTGTCTTGGGCCTTTCAAGCTACAACTTGGTTGTTTTTGAACCGCTTACTCGGAGAGCAAAAGAAGGGAAACGGTCATCCGAGATATGGAGGCACCCCGCCTCCTCAGCGGGCCGCGTCCTAAACAAATGACAAGTATACGCTGTCGAAGGTCCGCGCGGGTTTCCCGGAACGAACGGCGCGTGGCGCCGCCTTTGGCGCGCTCCGCACGCCAGGGATGGTGGTTCAGCGCCGACTCAAAAATATCGCGTGAGCCTCCAGCAGTTCGTGCTGATAAGCCCTGTATAGTCCACCAAGTCCTGGTGTGTGAGGGAGCTTCCCCAGAAGCCCCCTCGCCGCGGGCTGCCTCTCTCCCTTCCGCCATGCCCGACGCGGAGGAGGAGGAGGAGGAGGAGGAGGAGGAGGAGGAGGAGGAGGAGGAGGAGGAGGGGGAGGAGGAGGAGGCGAGGGGGGCGCCTTGCCTTTGAGAGGCCTCCCTGGCCTCCGAGAGTGGCCCTCTTCTTGGAGGCCTCCAAGGCACAGCTTGCGTCAAGGAACGATCCTGTCGGAGGCCTCTCCGAGGGACGAGGGGCCCCTCGCAGGACGGCCTCTTGCCATCTCGGGAAAAAAGGGGGGAGTAAAAGGAAGAGGAGGAGGAGGAGAAGGAGGAGGAGGAGTAGGAGGACGAGGAGGAGGAAGAGGAGGTGGATGAAGAGGAGGAGGAGGAGGAGGAGGAGGAGGAGGAGGAGGAGGAGGAGGAGGAGGAGGCGGAGGAGGAGGAGGAGGAGGAGGAGGAACTGGGCACGGCAAAACAAAACGGTGGTACCAGAGTGTTGGCATGCGGGGCCATTGCGCGGTGCATGGTGGCCGATGCCGTGTGCACCGTCCGCTCCGACAGCATCCAGAGAGCTGCCTCCCCAGTACGGGGTTGGCGTCCCGTGTGGGCTCGAGACATTGCATAAGAGCATGTTCGCAGATGCAGAGCGGTGCCCAGACTTGGCCTTCGAGTCGCTGAATCTCAATGGTGCGTTCACCCGCATGCGTCGCAGGGCGGTGCTGCGCCGCGTGCGTGAGCGCTGCCAAGAGCGGGGTTGCTTGATGGTGCAGTGGTACGGCCGCGCGACGATGCACTCAACTGCGGGGGCCGGCGGGGTGTAGCAGGAGGGCCTCGACCAAGGATGCCTCAGCCCAGCGCTCTCTAGCATTGGCCTCGCTCTGAAGCTCTGCGCTCTGCGGGACTTCTTGCGCACCATCGACCCCCGCCGCAAGGGGTGGGCTCACCTGGACGACGCCCACCTGACGGTGCCGAAGGCGCACCTGCACCTGGCGCTGAAAGTCGCAAGCGCTCTCTTTGCGGACTTGGGCCTCGAGCTGAACACGAGCAAGGCGAAGGTCGTGTGCCCCGACGGCCAGGTCGCTTGGCTGCCCGACGGTTCAGGGGCGTGGGGCGTGAACGCGCTGTCGTGCTTAGGGAGCACCGTGACCTTCGTCAGGGCCCGGCACGACGCGGACGACCAGGAATGGAGGGACGCGCTCGCAGATGGTTTGGACGAGACCCCCTGGCCACCTCGGATTCGCGGCTCGCCGACTACGGAGGCTTGCTTGTCAAACTGGAAACAGCGGGGCTTGAGAAGAAGCACCGCTTCCCCCTCCTTCGCACCTGCGTGAACGGCGCGGTGCCGCACCTGCAGCGCGCCCGCATGGCGCCGCGGGGCCTGCCGCTCTTTCGACGACGCAGTGGTGAAGCGGGTCGAGCGCCTGTTCAACCAGGGCCTCACTAAGGACGGCCGCAGGGCCCTCTCCCTACCCGCCAGGGCAGGAGTGGCGGGCTTCGGGTCCGCGGAGCGCCGCGCCGTCGCGGCATGGCTGGGCTCCTGGCGCGCCGTGCAGGACGCGGTGTGGGCGCGCCAGCCTGGCTGAAGCAAAGTCCCGCCTCCAGGCAGCAGGCGGCGGGGGCCAAGGTACCGCTGGACGCGTGGCGCCAGGTCAAGAAGCCCGTCTGTGCGAAGAAGCTAGTTGCCCACGCGCGCACCGAGCTCCATGCGCGCCTCTCCGAGCCCGAGGCGGCGCTCCATCTGTCCCAAGGCGGGACCGGCTCAGCGGTGCTGCAGCCGCCGAGCTTGCTGCGCCACCTCCTGGGAGACATCGCGATCGCGGTCGCGCTATAACTCGACCCAGCGGGCCAGCGCGGCGCCCCGTGCCAGAACACGGCCGCGTCCACGAGCGCGCAGTGCGGGGCCAGCGCGGCAGAGCCCCACGACAGGCACGCGGCCGTCTGCAACGTCGGCCCTGGCTTCGCGCGCCGGCACTACGGCCTCCGCGACCAGTTGGGCGACCGACCGGCTAGGGGAGCGCCATGGCTCGCAGTCCGTGGCGATTGAGCAGCGCATCCCGTCTTGGCGCAGTGACCGCGGAGGGCGCCCAAGCAGCCGTCTTCGATTCGGTCCTGGTGTACCTGGGCGGGCGGGTGTGCATGGACACGAGCGTGGCTGAGGCCATCGCCGCCGATGGCGCGACCGCGCGCTGGCGCGCCCGCATCGACGGCGCAGCGGCCCTGGAGCGGGAGCAGGGGGAGCAGGTCCCCAGCCCTGGCCTGGTGGCTGCGGTGGTGCGGCCGCCTGGGGCGCGAGTTTGATTCGTCCGTACGCGAGCGCGCCCGGGCGGACCCCGAAGACCAGGTCAGGTGCCTTCGCCGACGTGAGGCAGCGCATGGTTGTGGCCGTTGCGCGCGGCACAGCGGCGATGCTGCTCAGCCGCGACGGCCCGCGCGCGACGCCTTGGCCGCCCCCGGCTCAGGAGGCGGGCCGCGGCCGGGCCCGCCGATGAACCCTCGCCAGGAACGTTAGCGAATTGTGTTCCTCCACCGCGCCCCTCCCCCCTCTGCTCTCTGCGCTGCTTGCCTGCCCTCCCCACTCTTTGTCCTATGTCAATCGGCCCTCCCTCGTGGTATCCCTGTTTCTTCTGGCTCTGCGGCCTATCTCGCTTCTCTCGACCGTCCCTGTTCTCGGTGCGGTCGTTTATCGTCACCGTCTGCTTGCTGGGGGGGCGCGGGATGATGGAAAGCGCGCGTAGCGTGCGATCCGTTAGTCGGAAGGAAGTAATTGGGGGGGGAGTGTAAGCGGGTGGCATCCGCGGCCCCAGGATGACGGAAAGCGCGCGTACCGTGCGATCCGTTAGTCGGAAGGAATGAAGTGAGGGGTGCGTGAGGGGGTGGCATCCGCGGCCCCAGGATCTAATAGCCCGCCCTGCTCCCCGTTAGCGGAGCCCTTAGCAAGGAAAATCGGGTGAACAACTGGCCCGCCCGTTTCCCTGTCAACGGACCGTTAACAGGTGTTTTTTTTCCGCTCGGGCATATTTTTCTTTGTTAACGGAGCCCTTCACAGGGAACAGCAGGGACAAAAACAGGGTTGCACGCTCGGGCGCTTTTTCCCCTGTTAACGGAGCCCTTGACAGGGAACATCGGGTGACGGACGCGTTTTTCCCTTGTGAACGGGCCGCTAGCAGGTAAATACGTTCCTTGTTGACGGACCGTTAACGGACTCTGAGCACCGCGGCTTCCAAGAACGAGCAGTGACGTAAACAACTGATAAGACCAAGGCTCCCAACAGAGAGCGGTGACGGAACCAGTTCTTGACACCAGGGCCCGACACGGGCAGCGACGTAAGCTCCGCGCAAGGTCCGCGTAGGCTTCGCGCAAGCGCGTAAAATCCTCGCCAATTGGAGGCACCTTCAAGATAGCCCATGAGAGACCAAGCGTCCTCCAAGACGGTCCAAGATGCTTCCAAAACGACCCAAGAGGCCACAGGCCCGTCAGATCGCCCCCAAATGGCCCACGATACCCCCCAAACGGCCCCCAAACGTGTTCGAACATCTGCTCGTATGCAGACGTCTTTAACGGCCTCCAAGACGGTGTAGAGAGGCCCAGACGGGCCCGAGGACGGCCCAAGAACGATCCAGATAGCCCACGACGGCCTCACTACGGCTCAAGAGGTAGACCCCCCCCGAGCACCGATGGGCGTTCTCAGCGGGGAAAACACCGAAAGTAGGGCTTTCGCCGCCCGATGGGCGCCCTTGGCCCCGTCCTACATGCATAAGCTTTTCGCCAACTGAGGGCACCTCCAAGACGGCGTGAGAGAGGCCCAGACGGGACCGAATACGGTTCAAGAGCGATCCAAGCTAGCCCAAGATGGCCTCAGCACAGCCCAAGAGGCCTCCAAGACACCCCAAACGGCACCCGAGAGGACCCCCAGAAGTGCTGAAGGACGAATGCACCATTATTGCCTTTAGGTTTGTGAAGGTTTTCCAGCTCCTCGCCTTGTCGGGCAAGGACGGCCCGGTACAGCTCCAGAGCCCCCCGAGATTGTGACATGACGGCCCGAGAGGCTCCCAAGAGAGCCTGAGGACGGCCCAGAAGAGCCCCAAGAGGGCCTAAGAGAGCCACAAGACGGCCCAAGGAGGGCCTGGGAGACGCCCAAGATACTCCCAAGAGACAGTAAGTCGTCGTCATCATCATCAACAGTATGATCCCAATCTTCATTCGTGTTTTATCGCGCTGTAGTGCCTTCCTAATATGCCAACGCGCCCTGGTTCCCCCTCAAGAGGCCTCTGCAGCTTCGAGATAGCTCTAGAGCGCGCCCCAAAATGCCACCAAGATGCCCCAAGAGAGCCTCCAGACGGGGGAACAGAGAGAAAGAACGGGCAAGCCAGCGACATCTCGCGCTCTGAAAGTCAATGCGCTTTCCGTCCCCGTGCTAAGCAGGTCTAATTGCGTGGGGCGTCGCTCGGAGATTCCGCGGGGAAGCGCGGTGGCAGTTTCGAGGCTGCTCTGGCCTCCACTGGCCTGCTTGCCCGGCAGGGTCGGCGGGCCCAGCGCCGAGACCCAACGGCCAGCGTCTACCCCCTCTTCCTCGCCCTCCTCTGCCTCTGCCCTCTCCCGCCGCCTCCCTCGACGTGCATCTGGAGGCGCTGCCTGGCAAAGCGACCAGGCGAGCGGATGGCGGCCCATGGGGCGGATCGACCGTGCAGTCGCGCCCCCTGCTGTTGCCTGGTGGCCCCCCTCTGTCATCTCCTTTCTTGGCGGCCAGGTGGGGAGGAGGAGGAGGAGGAGGAGGACGAGGAGGAGGAGGAGGACGAGGAGGAGGAGGACGTGGAGGAAGAGGAGGAGGAGGAGGAGGAGGAGGAGGAGGAGGAGGAGGAGGAGGAGGAGGAGAAGAAGAAGGAGGAGGAGGAGAGATGAGGAGGAGGAGGAGGAGGAGGAAGAGGGGAGGAGGAGGAGGAGGAGGAGGAGGAGGAGGAGCAGGGAGGAGGAGGAGGAGGAGGAGGAGGAGGAGGTGGAGGAGGAGGCGGTGGAGGAGGAGGGGGCGGAGGAGGAGGAGGAGGAGGAGGAGGAGGAGGAAGATCGATTATGCTGATTTTGCCGATGATGATTGGGGATGATGATGATGATGCTGATGATGATGATGATGATGATGATGATGATGATGATGCTGATGATGATGATGATGATGATGATGATGATGATGATGATGATGTCGGTGATGATGATGATGTTGAGGAGGACGCATCTGATACTAATGATGATGATGCTGGTGGTTATGTTGATGATGCTGATGATGATGATCATGTCTGTGACGCGGGTGATGCGGGTGATGATGATGCTGCTGATGATGATGGTGATGATGATGCTGGTAATGATGCTGATGATGATTATGATGATGATGCTGATGATGATGATGATGCTGATGCTGATGCTGATGATGATGATGATGATGATGATGATGATGATGATGATGATGACGATGATGAAGCTGCTACTGCCGATGTTGCTGTAGGTGATGGTGGTGATGGTAATGGTGATGGTGGTGATGATGCTGATGATGATGGGTGAGGATGGTGCTGCTGCTGATGATGGTGATGATGATGCTGGTGACGATGCTGATGATGGTGATGGCGATGGTGACGATGACGAGGATGATGCTGGTACTGATGATGCTGATGATGACGATGACGATGATGCTGATGATGAGGATGATGCTGCTGATGATGCTGCTGCTGCTGATCATGATGATGATGCTGATGCTGGTGATGATGCTGATGACGATGATGATGGAGATGCTGATGCTGCTGCTGCTGCTGCTGCTGATGATGATGATGATGATGATGATGATGATGATGATGATGATGATGATGATGATGATGCTGAGGAGGAGAGGAGGGAGGGAGGAGGAGGAGGAGAGGAGGAGGAGGAGAGGAGGAGAGAAGAAGAGTGGAGGAGGAGGAGGAGGAGGAGGAGGAGAGGAGGAGGAAGTAGGAGGATGATGACGAGGAGGAGGAGGAGGAGGAGGAACAGGACGACAGAGGAAGATCGAGGAGGTGGAGGAAGGACCCCTCCGCCAAGGTGGTGGTGGAAGAGGCAGAGGGCCAGGGCGCCTCCGGCTCCGCGGAGGAAATTGGCGCTGCCGGGTTTGGCGAGGAGGGGCCGGCGACGGGGCCGAAGGCGAAGGACTCACGGGAGCCCAGAAAGGAGGAGGAGGAGGAGGAGGAGAAGGAGGAGCAGGAGGAGCAGCAGGAGCAGCAGGAGGAGCAGGAGGAGCAGGAGGAGGGGGAGAAGGAGGAGGAGGAGGAGGAGCAGGAGGAGCAGGAGGAGGAGGGCAAGGGGGAGGAAGAGGAGGAGGAGGAGGAGGAGGAGGAGGAGGAGGAGGAGGAGGAGGAGCGTGGGGAGGAATAGGAATAGGAGGAGGAGGAGGAGGAGGAGGAGGAGGAGGAGGAGGGGGATGATGATGATGATGATGATGCTGATGATGATGATGATGATGATGATGATGATGGTGATGATGATGATGATGATGACAATGATGACAATGATGACGATGATGACGATTATGCTGATGCTGATGATGATGAAAATGATGATGATCATGGTGATGATGCTGATGATCGTTCTTCTGCTGATACTAATGATGATGGTGATGATGAATATTATGATGATGGTGATTATGATCTTGGTGGCGATGATGGCGATGTTGATGAGTTTGGTGATTGTGAGGGTAACGAGTCTGATGACGATGATGGTAATGCTGACGATGATGATGATGCTGGTGATGCTGACGATGATGATGATGATGATGGTGATGGTGATTGTGATGGTGATGTTGATGATGATGTCGATGATGGTGATGATTCTGATGGTGGTGATGGAGGTGACGATGATGACGATGATGATGATGCAGATGACGGTGCTGCTGCGGATGCTGATGGTCATGTTAATGTTGGTGGTGATGATGGCGATGATGACGAGTGTGATGATTATGATCGGGATGCGTATGATGACGATGATGGTGATGATGGTGATAGTGTTGGTGATTTGATGGTGATGGTGAGGGTAGTGATGGTGATGAAGGTGATGTCGATGATGATGATAATGAAGTTGATGACGCTGATGATGATGCTGCTGATGGTGATTATGAGGAAGATGTTGATGCTGATGCTGATAATGATGATGATGGTGTTGGTGGTGGTTTGATGGTGCTGGTGATAATTATACCTTGCGATGGTGGTGATGCTGCTGCTGTTGCTGATGATGATGCTGCTGCTTCTGCTGATGATGATAATGCTGCTGATGCTTCTTCTGCTGCTGATGATGATGACATTGATGATCATGTTGATGATGATGATGATGATGATGATGACGACGATCATGATGATGGCCATGCTGATACTGATGCTGCTTATGCTGATGATGCTGATGGTGACCATGCTGATTCTGATAATGATGGTGGTGATGATGACGATGATGCTGCTGATGATGATGATCATTACAATCAATAGTCGTAGCTAGCAGTGACAACAGTGGTAGCACAGGGACTCGTTCTGGGGGCAGCGCTGGTTGCCAGCCTGGGGGAATCCACCTGCCAGAGCCGTGGCGTGCGAGTGGCGACTGCAGAGCCAGAGCGTGCGGGAAACGTCTGCGACAAGAGCGAGACAGAAACAAATGTCATCATTATCGTGCGCGTGTGTGTCTGTGTGTGTGTAAGTGTGTGTGTGTGTGTGTGTAAGTGTGCAAGTGTGTGTGTGTGTGTGTGCCTGTGTGTGCGAGAAGAGTCGGTTGTGGCAGCTCACGGAGGTGTTAGAGACAGCAGCCAGACGTCCTCGGCTACAGGCGCGGGCCCGCACGTGCGAGAAGGGGGGAGGCGGTGCCACAGGACAACACCAAGACGCCCAGTTCCCGCGTCGACAACTCCGAGGGAAGTGGGGCGAAACACGATCCCAACGTCGTCAGCTACTGGGGAGCTCGCACGAAACACGAACCCGGTCCCATCAGCTGCGAGGGTGGTACAGCGAAACACGAGTCTGATGCCATCAGTTACGACGGTGGTGTGGCTGCGAAGCACGAGCCCGATGTCAACAGCTACAGTGTTAGGGCCAGTCCCCTCATGCGAGTAGGCCCGGCAGTGGTGCGCGACGGGTCGGCAGTGGTGCGTGAGAGGCCGGCAGTGGTGCGAAACGAGCCCGCAGTGGTGCGCAGTGGTGCGAAAAGGGCCATCAGTTGTGCGAGAAAGGCTAGCACTGGTGCGAGAAGTGCCGGCAGGTGGGGCAGTTGCGGCACAGGCTTGATACATCAGCTACAGCGCGGTACGCGGAACGCAGTGTCCGTACCGTTTCGGTGTCTTTGGAGGCTTGTGCACCGCCCGCTGTGGAGATGTGCTCGGTCGTTTAGTTTGCGCGGACATCACGAGGAGCAGAAGAGAAGAGGAGGAGGAGGAGGAGGGAGGGGGTACGGAACACGAATCCAACGTCATCAGCCACCTGGGTGGTGTCGCGAGGCGCGAGCCCGACGACATCAGCTACGGGGGTGGCGTGGAAAAGCAAGAGGCCAGCGTCGTCAGCTACGAGAGTGGCAGAAAGAAGCATGAGCCCAAGACCATCAGTTACGAGGGAGGTACAGTGAAGCACGAGCCCAGCAGCTCAGGCAGCAGCAGCCCAGGCGTAGTGCAAGAAGCGCCGCCGCCTCCCAACCACGACATCCAGGCGCTGCTTGACACCGCGAACAATGTATTCGTAGCATGACGGCCCGACGTGGCACTCAGGGCCCTTCAACAGATTTACAAAGCCGCTCAGAGCGCTATGCGGCATCCTGGTATCCAGCACCTGCGCCGAGCACCTGGTGGAGGAACAAAGGCATCTAATTACACACAACCGAGGAGGAGAAGGAACAGGAGACGTCTGACAGCGACGCGGGGGGCGAGGAGGACGTGGGCAGGGTGTGGGGGGACAGGTGCACGCTAAGCAAGCGCAGCGGCACGCCGCAGTCCAGCCGCGGTGCGGGCAGGGAGTGCGAGAAGGGACAGCAGTGGCAGCGGGCGGGGCGAAGCGTGGACGAGCCGACGCCATCAGTTCCAAAACCAAGTCTATGTGGGGAACTTTCTTACAACGTCGACTCGTGCGACCTCGAGGACCACATGAAGCAGGCGGGCAGCGTGGAATTCAGCAGAGTGCTCACAGTGGACGGTACTGACCACGCCAGGTCGTTCGGATACGGTCAGGTACGCTTCTCCACAGAAAAGGAGGTTAAAAAGGCCATGGTCACCCTGGACGACACGGAACTCAAGAACCGAAGGATTTGGATTCGGACATTGTCTGGCGCGAAAGGAAGTCGTCTACAACGTGCGTAGTAGATCGGTTGTGGTGTGCTGTGAGAAGAGCTGAATGGCACAGCCCAGAGTCTCAAGTAAGTAGAGTAGCAGGAGGAGGAGGAAGAGGAGGAGGAGGAGGAGGAGGAGGAGCAGGAGCAGGATGAGGGGAAGGATGAGGAGGAGCAGGAGGAGGATGGTAATGATGATGAGGAGGAGGGGGAGGAGAAGCGGGAGCCGAGAGGATGAGGTGATATGTTGTTGATGATGCTGTTGATGATTACGCAGATGATTTTGATGTAGGCGTTGGTGGTGATGATGCTATTGCTAGTGCTATTGTTGATGTGGTGTATGCCAGAGCTGGCGCGGATGTTATCGCTGTCATTACTGATGGTGCAGTTGGTGCTGTTGATGGTGGCGGTGACTGTGGCGATGATGCTGTTGCTGATGATGATGTTTATGCTCATGCTGCCTCTGGCGGTGATTGCGATGACGATAGTTATGATGATGGTGCCGACCGGGATAATTACGATGCTGCTGATGATGATGTTGGGTCTTCTGATGATGCTGCTGCTGCTCATGATGGGGATATTCATGCTGACGGTGATGCTGATGCTGGAGCCGAGGATGATGATGCTGATCATTATTATTCTGCTGATGATGATGCGGATGGTTTTGGTCATGCTGAGGGTGATGCTGATGCTGATGATGCTGTTGAGTATGCTACTAGGTGCTGCTGTTGATGATGATGGTGATGATGGTGGTGATGACCATGACGGTGGCGATGGGGGTGATGCTGGTGTTGGCGATTGCTCTTATGACGATGGTGGTTGTGATGGTGGCGATGCTGAGGATGATGTGTTGTTGCTGCCACGCGTGATGTTGATGCTGATGCTGATCATATTGATGATGCTGCGGCTGGTGATGCTGATGCTGATGCTGACAATGCTGGTGATGCTGATGATGATGATGATGATGATGCTATTGATGAGGATGATGCTGCTGATGATGATAATGCTGATGATGCTGATGATGCTGAAGAAGAAGAGGAGGAGGCGGAGGAGGAGGAGGAGGAACAGGGAAGGAACGAGGGGGAGGGAGGAGGGCCAGCAAAAGGAGGAGAAGGAGAAGGAGGAGGAAGAGGAGGAGGACTAGGAGGAGGAAGAAGAGCAGGAGGAGCAGTAGAAGGAGCAACAGGAGCAAAAGGAGGAGGAAGAGGTGGAGGAGGAGGAGGGACAGGAGGAGGACGAGGAGGAGGAGGAGGAGGAGGAGAAGGACAAGTGTAAACCCAACATCCATCAACGATGTTGAAATACGCCCTCCATCCACGCTCCATCGTCATATGCCCCATACAAAGGGTCATTGCCACTGAGGGAACTGACCCGCTGGGAGACAACTGTTTGAGGATCCTGAAGCGTGCCGAGACACCATTCTCGAGACCCAGCGCCACGGACCAACTCGACTGTTGCATCTTGACGATCATGAAACGCGCCAGGCCGCCATTCTCGGCGTTACAACGCCGCGAAGCTAGAAGCTGTTGCGCCCGGATAATCCCGAACCGATCAAAAACATGATTTCTGGTACGCTGACCATGTGAATCAGTGAACCTCTTGCATATTTCTATGGCGAATGTGCTCGGCGCTGAAAAGAGAGCCACATTGTGAAACGTAACCGCCTTCAACCCGTGAAGCTCTTGCAACGTTGTAAGACGAGTGTGCGCGGCGCTAAGGCGAGACCAGCATTATTAACACGCCCGCCCTCAATCCGCGCACCTCTTTGAAAATGTTTGCGACGAATGTGCGCGGCGCTACGGCGGAACCCACATTTCGAAACCGCCCGCCTTCAATCCGTGAAGCTCTTGCACATATCTGAG